GGACTAGAACGTTTAATAGGGTGAGATTACTAAAGCACATACATTCACAGCGGAAGGGCTTAGAACGTTTACTAGGATGAGGCTACTAAAGCACATACATTCTCATCAGAAAGGCTTAGAACGTTTACTAGGATGAGACTACCAAAGCATATACATTCACAGCAGGTGGGCTTAAAACGTTTTCTAGGATGAGGTTACTAAAGCACATACATTCACAGCAGGAGGGCTTAGAACGTTTGCTAGGATGAGGTTACTAAAGCACATACATTCACAGCAGAAGGGCTTTGAACGTTTGCTAGGATGAGGCTACTATGGCACATACATCGATACTTTAAAAGATTCCGTTCACTTCTCTATATCCGCTTTACAATAAACATGGTCTGGAAGCACGATTCCAAATTAGACGCCAAACACTTTTCCTGCAAAGATTGAAGTACCTTCAGCACAGACACCGAACGGTCCCCTAATTGGCTGTCTAGCGTATTAACGTTCTCTTTGCCTTGCAATATCCGCTTGTGGCTGTATGCGTCGATTGGTAGAAGGAGAATTTCAAGCGGTCACTGTGAGTTCGGCTATAGATCACGTAGAGACATAGGAATATAACAAACATTATATAGGCTGCAAGCATACGTGCTCTGCAAAGCAAGCTCATGCCCCAGGATCCACCCACAAAACCTCGTACACATTTTAGTTTACCCTGTTGCACAGTACACGTGTGTGTACAACAAGCGTATAACGTTTCAAACTAACGCCAACTGCCCTACGACCCCAGCATACAAGTCTACTAGCAAAACTCCTAAACTCCTAGAGCCTTACCCCGTTGCATCCCACACTGCTGCACTCAAGTGGTGCTGTGAATCGGAGTTGCACGACAACCGCACATCGCTGAAGTCGTCTAGATCATACAGTACACCACAGGCTCGGCGGGTAGGGCCTATCCCTGATACTACAGGGATCAGCGATCCTTGAGGTCTAGCTGTATGGTACTGGATTGTCTCATCAGACTGAGTGATACTGATGTTCTGCAAGCAGGCAGATACCCGAACCATGGCGGTGTGTACCTGTGAGACATCGTATGCATGTATCAGATGTAGATATACAGAATACAGACCGCATCTAGTGTCAGTTGGTGTATATATTATATATTGCACGAGGTCTCCAGTAGAGTACAGGTGGTTGTATCGAATGGTTGGCCACCCGGAATATGAACGTCATATACCTACACAAAGGCCATGATAGTGCATATTAAGTAGTCTATTCCACCTCGACACCTAGTTCATCATATGTACTACAACAAGAAGGTGTATGAAAACCCATGAACCCTATATACTTGGTAGCACTGACGTACCCAAACAAGACGAAGGCTTTACAGCATATGACGTCCGCCTGTGGCTGAGTGTACCTACCTAGCGCCCATTCGCTAACCTATAGATGCAACATCAGAGTGTGGCTGAGTGTACCTACCTTATGCCTATTCCCAACCAATACACGCAACAACAGAGTGTGGCTGAGTGTACCTACCTAGTGCCCATTCCCCAACCAATACATGCAACAACAGAGTGTGGCTGAGTGTACATACCTTATACCCATTCCCAACCAATGCATGCAACAACAGAGTGTGGCTGAGTGTACCTACCTTATTCCCATTCCCAACCAATACATGCAACAACAGAGTGTGGCTGAGTGTACATACCTTATACCCATTCCCAACCAATAAACGCAACAACAGAGTGTGGCTGAGTGTACCTACCTTATTCCCATTCCCAACCAATACATGCAACAACAGAGTGTGGCTGAGTGTACATACCTTATACCCATTCCCAACCAATAAACGCAACAACAGAGTGTGGCTGAGTGTACCTACCTTATTCCCATTCCCAACCAATACACGCAACAACAGAGTGTGGCTGAGTGTACCTACCTTGTGCCCGTTGATCATCAGAGTGTTGTAGCCACTGTGTGCTGCATTCAGAGACGAGAGGCCCAGGCCTGTAGTAACGTCTACGAAGATCGAATCCTTCCGTCTGCGATACAAGTTATTCGCACAGAGTGTGTGAGTTGTGAGTCCAATAATAAACCCGTACGTCCGTCGGCATAGTAGCGCACAAGTGTCTTAACCGATTCGATACAGAGAAGCTGGCGGCCGTTCACTCAGGGTTTAGGGTTTAGGGATTTCAGGGTTTGTAGGTCCCACGATCGTTCTAAGGTTTAGAGACACAGCCGATTGTCAACGAGAGTGCCTAAAAGAATACGCACTCATTGCATCACGCGGGAGTATCCCTACCAGTCACACCTATCCGCAGTGAACAGGTTGTTCCAGCCAGACCAAGACCTCAACCAATATCACCTCTTAACGAACACTTACCAACCCCGTGTGCACTTTTCTCACACTAACACGCGCAGGTATCAGCCCTCGGCATACCATCGTGCGCCTGCTTACCGCGCGTAGTTGTCCAGCATAATCCGCACCACATCTGCCAGGGCTTCCGCTAAACGGTATGAACCAAGGGCCGGGTGCGTTTCCGGAAACCTGTACCTGTGGCCAAACCGGTCCTCTTTTGCTCTATACGGGAGGAATGGTAGCAGGAACAAGCGGACAATTAATCTGTGCCTCCCTAGCAACAGGTAAGTAACATGGAGATATCTACTTCGTATATACTCGCTCGGCCCCATACCAGCAATACCACCTTGACCCTAACAAACCCACACCTGTGCACCACCCTACTTCGTATATACCAGCCCGACCCCGTACCAGCAATACCACCTTGACCCTAACAAACCCACGGCTGTGCACCACCCTACTTCGTATATACCAGCCCGACCCGTACCAGCCATACCACCTTGACCCTAACAAACCCACACCTGTGCACAGCCATGGTGAATCCTCTGAGCGTATCCACCACATCCAGCACGGCCCATGAAGACTCGCGTTGCATGCACTGCGCCACGGTGGTGTGCTTGATGGCAACGGACAGTCCCTCTAGCAACGAGGGATTGCCGCCTGACTGGTAGTTAAGGTGTCAGTGTGTGGTTAAAGGCAAGTACTTTAGGACTGATTGAGACAGCCACCGGTTATGGTAACGAGGGACTGCCGCCTGACTGGTAGGTGAGATAGCAGAGCAGTGTGTGGTTAAAGGCAAGTACTTAGGACTGATTGAGACAGCCACCGGTTATGGTAACGAGGGACTGCCGCCTGATTGGTAGGTGAGATAGCAGAGCAGTGTGTGGTTAAAGGCAAGTACTTTAGGACTGGTTGAGATAGCCACCGGTTATAGTAACGAAGGAATGTCGCCTGACTGGTAGGTGAGATAGCAGAGCAGTGTGTGGTTAAAGGCAAGTACCTTAGGATTGATTGAGACAGCCACCGGTCATAGTAACGAGGAATTGCAGTCTGACTGATAGTTAAGGTGCCAGTGTGTGGCTAACGACATGCACCTTATAACTGTTTTAGGCGATTTGTAAGGGTGTGATCCCTGCCCATCTCCATCCCCAGTTAAACAAAACAACTCAGTAAAGAACACACAGTAGCATCCGTTGCATGTGCATGATAATTGAGGCTGTAATATTTTTGAGATCATCACAAGTACCCTCTCATTGAAAATCTACTAGATTTTGTATATACTAAAACGTGATGAAAACCTAAAAATCTACCAGTAATATCAGAAGTCACAGCTTAGATTACACACTGTCAACGCTGAAGCGACCCCGCCATGCCCATCACCACTGACGGTATAATTTCGTTCAACCATTCATAGTGTCAAGGTCTATTGTTTACAGCATGTTCTTTTTAAGCGTCCCATTTGTCCTTAAATAGTTACATGAATAGTAACCCTCTACTGTTTATAGCATGTTCTTTTTAAACGTCTCATCTGTTCTTATATCAGCATGTTCTTTTTGATGCCCCCCGCCCATATTCGAATACCTACCCATGGATCATAACCTTGTGGTAAATTCGAATACCTACCCATGAATCGTAACCCGGTGGTCAATTCACATACCAAAATTCGGTGCACCTCTTCCTTAACCCCACTGTCGATCAGCAGTCCACTGCTGTGAAGGATAGACAGTACATTGCCTGTCTCTATTCTCGTTATGGCATCGTCTGCCCCCACTTCCTGGTTGGCCGCGTGTCCCGTTTGTTTGCCCGGGGTGTTCAGTTTGCGCCGGAGGTCTTCCTTGAGGCTCTCGTTGATTTTGACTGTGAAGTGAAAGATAGGGGATGTTTGCATGATTGACCGAATATACAAACGCGGTGACAGGTTCATATGCAATAGCCCCAGTAGTACTGAGACCCGCACACTCATAGGTATCGGAATAGTGCAACACTACAGTGTGGTAGGTCAAGACTGGCCTTATACCAAGCTAGTGGATGGATACGCCTTGTGTGGTGAGGGGTATAGGCAGCACCCATGACCGGTGAGAGTGTGGGTTTATGGAGTTAGTATATGATCCACAGTGCAACTGCGCATATACTCGCAATTGCTAGCTGCCAGCACATCCCACTTCCATACTTGCTCATATGGTAGTACTTCATTAACAATTACGCTAACCACTTCTCTAGTAGATATTTACTATACGTCAGGGATACCAAGCATAGCACTACCTACCTACACTAACCACTTCTCTAA